TGAGATTTAGCAATGATGTAGACAAATGGTTTCTTCGTTATACAATACTCTTTGTTCGAAAACACCATGTCACACTATAATACCTCTATACTTCCATTTATTTTCCTCTTCTACTTTCTTCTAATTTCCTTGCCCTTTTCTCTCCATTCCTCCTCTTCGTTTCTTAATATTTCAGTATTTCGTTTTCTTGTCCATCTTTCTCCCTTTGGTATTATTTTTGTGTTTTAACTTTTCCTTCCCTTTTTACTATTCCAGTGTTTCTCTTTCTTTTCCAGTTATCCTTTACTTTCCATATGATTCCATTATTTGTCTTTCTTCTAATTCCTTCTTATAATTCTGAACTGTCGACTCTTCTCCAACCTTCTTCCTAATTCCTTTTTGCCACAGGGAATATAATTTCTTCGTCTTCCTCCGTTTATTTCCTCTCTACCTTCCCTTCTTTCTTCCTCTCTTCTTGTCATTGAGGTCATAAATTCTTCTTCCCCCTCCTCTTTCCTCCATCCATTTCCTCTTCACCTTTCTCCCTTTCCTTCCTCTTGCCACAGAGGTCCTAAATCCTTCTTCTTCCTTCCTTCTGCTTACACAGAAGTTTTTCATTCTTTCTTTTTCCTCCTTCCATTTCCTCTCCATCTTCCCCCCTTTCCTTCCTTCTTACCACAATGGTCCTAATTTCTTCTTCTTTCCTTCTGCCTACAAAGTTATTTTTATTTTTTCCCCTTACTCCATCTATTTAATCTCCACCTTCCCCCCTTTCCTTCCTTCTTGTCAGAGTGGTCCTAATTTCTTCTTCTTCCTCCTTCCTCCCTCCATTTCCTCTCCACCTTTCTCCCTTTCCTTTCTTCTTGCCACAGAGGTCCTAAATCCTTCTTCCTAATTCCTTCTGCTTACACAGAGGTTTTTTATTCTTTCCTCTTCCTCCATCCATTTCCTCTCCACCTTCCCCCCTTTCCTTCCTTCTTGTCATTGAGGTCATAAATTCTCCTTCCTCCTTCCTCTATTCATTTCCTCTCCACCTTTCTCCCTTTCCTTTCTTCTTGCCACAGAGGTCCTAAATCCTTCTTCTTCCTTTTTTTACTCAAAATCTAGAATCTTAAAATCTAGCTTTAATTACTTCGTTCATTTTTCTCCATGAATTTTGTAGCAAGGAGTATTTTTAAAGGATTTATTTATCTTCATAAACTTTGGAAATATCAGCTAAGCAGTGACGTAGTTAGCCTTTTAAGGGTCCTTCGAGGAGCCCCTGCATTTTAAGGTATATACTGTATATAAGTATCATTTGGAGCCCCCTTGTGGTGATATTTAGAGATACTATATAATTTTCATTGTTTTTGGGGTTGTGTCTGATGTTGTGCTTGTTTTGTGTTTGTGATTGTGTTTTTGTTGCATTTGGAATGTTTTTTGCTGTACTTGGGACTATGTTGTTTGTATCCTAGTTCCAAAATAACTTTTGACTGTGTACCTCGACAATACTGCAGCCTTGCTTTTAGAAAAGTTGGAAATCACTAGTTGATTAAATAGATAGACAGAATAAAGTAGATAAATAAATCACACTCAAAGAAGATTTGATCAAAAATAGTTAGTACAGCTTTTATATCATATCACTATCTCTCATATTATGTCACCAAACCTTAAAATATCAAGTTTCTTTATTGTATGATCAACCCTTATGCAACCGAACCCTACATTATTTCACCAAATCTTACACTATTAACGTTATACAACCAAACTTTTACTTTATGACCAAAATTTATTCTACGAGAGTTATAATTTATAACCAAACATTATACACCCAGATTTCTACCTTATGACCAAACCTTTACCTTATGACCAATACTACAAAAACTTATACCTTGTGACCAAAACTTACTAACAAACTCTGATACCTTATTCAGTCAACCTCATTCAACTAAAAATCAAACCTTATGACCACAAACCTCACACTCCTGAAGCTAATACTCCGTCCCTCTTCCGCAGGTCTCCACTCCGATGTCGTTCCAGATCACTCCCCTCCCAGGCACTCATCCTCTCGCCGTTTTCGTCAATCCTAAGAGTGGAGGCAGACAGGGGGCGAGGATATTGAGGAAGTTCCAGGTAAAGGGGAGGGAAGGGGGAAGAGGGAAGGAGAGGAGGAGAGGAGGATTTGGAGAGAGGGATGGGATGAGGAAGAGGTGGGTGGGTGGGTGGAGGGATGGGAAGAGGATGAGGGGGTGGAAGGAGAGAGGGGAGTGGGAAGGATGAAAGAGGAGTGAGAGGGCGAGATGGAGGGAGAAGAAGGATGTGAAGGGGAAGGAGAGGGATGAGATGGAAGAGGATTTGGGAAAGAAGGGAGAGAGATAAGAGAAAGGGGAGGGATCGGGGAGAGAGAGGAGGGTTAGGGGGAAAAGGAGGGAGATAGGAAACAGAGGGATGGAACGGGGAAAGGATAGAAAGAAGTGAAAAGTGAGATAGAAGGGAGTAAAGCGGGATGGCAAGGGAGACAGGAACAGGAGGAGAGAAAGAAAGTGACAGAAGGAAAGGAAGAGAGGATGGTATGGATTAAAGAGAAAGAGAGAGAGGGGGCGTTGCATGCACGTTCCTTGCAACCAAAGAGAGTTCAGATCCGGAGAACAAAAAAATCTTTGGAAGTGAAGAGATGGCCACAATCAAAACGTCTAATATCTATTGTAATAAAGGACAAAGACAAGTGATAGATTAGTTTCTACACGGACATAATATCAAAATGAATATCTATAACTTATAAGTATCTACGTGAACATATCAAACTTAGTATTCAATACAAAAATGGAAATGTATATATATATATATATATATATATATATATATATATATATAGATAGATAGATAGATAGATAGATAGATAGATATAGATATAGATAGATAGATAGATAGATATAGATATAGATAGATAGATAGATATAGATATAGATATAGATAAATAGGGAGATAGAAAAATGGACAGATGTATACAAAATAGACAGATAAATGGACAGATATATAGACAGAATAGCTAGATAGACATATAGACAGATAGATATATAGATAGATAAATAGGACCAGATATATAATATCAAAATATTTCTAATCAGTTGTTTTTCTCGTTCTCCTACCCACCCAGTACCTGCTGAACCCCCGCCAGGTGTACAACCTCGCGAAGGACGGTCCTCTGGCGGGCCTGCAGCTGTTCAAGGACGTGCCCAATGTCAGGGTCATCGTGTGTGGAGGAGACGGTACCATAGGCTGGATTCTTGAACAGATGGGTGGGTGGCCTGGTGCTTATGGGTTGCTGTTCTTGGTCTGCTTGTGTTTGTGGTTATTTTTCTTTTCTTTTCTTCTTCTTCTTGTTTCTACTCTTTTTGTCAGTTTTGTTTCGTTCTTATCAATTCAGTTCAGTTTTATATCGGTTTATAAATATAAACACATACATATTAAGATGTACACAAAGAAAATAAGGAAACAGTCACATTAAAAATTTGGTGAACAAATAGCCATTTCGGTTATTTGTTTGTCTAAAGAGGAACTCTTGACTCTTATTCATTGAATGATTTAACTATGATACGATATTCTAACATCCTCGAATGTTGTCGTTACTAGTTAGGAGTGTGTTGACCCCCCACCCCCCATCAACACACTCCCTCCCTCCCTCCCCCTCCCCCTCCCCTCCCCCAGTACACTCCTTCCCTCTCCCCTCCCTCAACGCACCCCCCTCCTCCTCCAAATCCCTGATCCCCGTCTGTGTCTCCTTCAGATAAAGTACAGTGGAGTGTGGCCCCGTGCGTAGGCATCATCCCCCTTGGCACGGGCAACGACTTGGCACGGTGCCTTCGATGGGGTCCCGGATATGAGGGAGAGAGTCTTCATAAAGTCCTTAAGGTAAAGTACTTAAGTAAAGTACAAGGTTAGTTGGCCTCATGAATGAAATTGGAAAATGCGTTTGTTGTTTTTTTTTTCAATATCACTCGTTTTTTTTTTATCTCTTTTTGGTTTTGTTATGTAATTGTTGTTGTTTTTTTGTATAGTGGGAAAGACATTTTCAATAAATTACAAACCATAATCGGTAAACAAACATCAATTTTTGTTAACATTAGACAGTACCTCCACCTGTAACTACTGTTCAACAGCCAACCACAGAAACAACTTTAATGACCCACAACCTCCCTGATAACTCCTCTCCGTCCCTGGTAACTCATCTCCCTCCCTGATGACTCATCTTCCTCCCTGGTAACTCCTCTTCCTCCCTGATAACTCCTCTTCCTCCCTGGTAACTCCTCTTCCTCCCTGATAACTCCTCTTCCTCCCTGATAACTCCTCTTCCTCCCTGATAACTCCTCTTCCTCCCTGATAACTCCTCTTCCTCCCTGATAACTCCTCTTCCTCCCTGATAACTCATCTCCCTCCCTGGTAACTCCTCTTCCTCCCTGGTAACTCATCTCCCTCCCTGATGACTCCTCTTCCTCCCTGGTAACTCCTCTTCCTCCCTGATAACTCCTCTTCCTCCCTGATAACTCCTCTTCCTCCCTGATAACTCCTCTTCCTCCCTGATAACTCCTCTTCCTCCCTGATAACTCCTCTTCCTCCCTGATAACTCATCTCCCTCCCTGGTAACTCCTCTTCCTCCCTGGTAACTCATCTCCCTCCCTGATGACTCATCTTCCTCCCTGGTAACTCCTCTTCCTCCCTGATAACTCCTTTTCCTCCCTGATAACTCATCTCCCTCCCTGGTAACTCTCTTTCCTCCCTGATAACTCTTCTCCCACCCTGATAACTCATCTCCCTCCCTGGTAACTCCTTTTCCTCCCTGATAACTCATCTCCCTCCCTGGTAACTCATCTCCCTCCCTGATAACTCATCTCCCTCCCTGGTAACTCATCTCCCTCCCTGGTAACTCATCTCCCTCCCTGGTAACTCATCTCCCTCCCTGGTAACTCATCTCCCTCCCTGGTAACTCCTCTTCCTCCCTGATAACTCCTTTTCCTCCCTGATAACTCATCTCCCTCCCTGATAACTCATCTCCCTCCCTGGTAACTCCTTTTCCTCCCTGATAACTCATCTCCCTCCCTGGTAACTCATCTCCCTCCCTGGTAAATCCTCTCCCTCCCTGGAAACTCCTCTCTCTCCCTGGTAACTTATCTCCCTCCCTGATAACTCATCTCCCTCCCTGATAACTCATCTCCCTCCCTGATAACTCATCTCCCTCCCTGATAACTCATCTCCCTCCCTGGTAACTCATCTCCCTCCCTGGTAACTCCTCTTCCTCCCTGGTAACTCATCTCCCTCCCTGATAATTCATCTCCCTCCCTGGTAACTCATCTCCCTCCCTGATAACTCCTTTTCCTCCCTGGTAACTCATCTCCCTCCCTGGTAACTCATCTCCCTCCCTGGTAACTCATCTCCCTCCCTGATAACTCATCTCCCTCCCTGGTAACTCATCTCCCTGGTAACTCATCTCCCTCCCTGGTAACTCATCTCCCTCCCTGGTAACTCCTCTTCCTCCCTGGTAACTCATCTCCCTCCCTGGTAACTCATCTCCCTCCCTGATAACTCATCTCCCTCCCTGATAACTCCTTTTCCTCCCTGGTAACTCATCTCCCTCCCTGGTAACTCATCTCCCTCCCTGATAACTCATCTCCCTCCCTGATAACTCCTTTTCCTCCCTGGTAACTCATCTCCCTCCCTGATAACTCCTTTTCCTCCCTGGTAACTCATCTCCCTCTCTGATAACTCATCTCCCTCCCCGGTAACTCATCTCCCTGGTAACTCATCTCCCTCCCTGGTAACTCATCTCCCTCCCTGATAACTCATCTCCCTCCCCGGTAACTCATCTCCCTGGTAACTCATCTCCCTCCCTGGTAACTCATCTCCCTCCCTGATAACTCCTCTTCCTCCCTGATAACTCATCTCCCTCCCTGGTAACTCATCTCCCTCCCCGGTAACTCATCTCCCTCCCTGGTAACTCATCTCCCTGGTAACTCATCTCCCTCCCTGGTAACTCATCTCCCTCCCTGATAACTCATCTCCCTCCCTGATAACTCATCTCCCTCCCTGGTAACTCATCTCCCTCCCTGATAACTCCTCTTCCTCCCTGATAACTCCTCTTCCTCCCTGATAACTCATCTCCCTGGTAACTCATCTCCCTCCCTGATAACTCCTCTTCCTCCCTGATAACTCCTCTTCCTCCCTGATAACTCATCTCCCTGGTAACTCATCTCCCTCCCTGATAACTCATCTCCCTCCCTGATTACTCATCTCCCTCCCCGATAACTCATCTCCCTTCCTGGTAACTCATCTCCCTTCCTGGATGCTGCAGAAGATCGAAAAGTCGACGGTGGTGATGATGGACCGGTGGCACATCGAAGTCTCGGAGCAAACTGGAACCCACGAGGACATGGACGAGGTGGCAGACAAGATCCCTTATAATATCGTCAACAACTACTTTAGTATAGGCGTGGTGAGTGTTCCAAAACGTTCTTGTTTGGTGTGCCGTTTTCAAAGCGTATTTCGGGGTATGAAGAACGTACGTATGTCAGTTAAGGTACGTTGTTGGGAATTGTTGTGTATGAATGTCATGGGAGATATAATGGATCTTGGTGTTATATTTCCCTTAGAATTGCGTAGTTAAGTTCTGAATTATTAAGAGTGGGTGTTCCAAAATGTGGGAAAGTTTATTTGCTGTGACGGTTTCAAGGTGTCTGTATTTGGGTTTCTTCTTAGCGCGTCTCGGTGTTATGTCATGAATGAATGAATGATGTAATTCGGTATTGTATCTTCATCGCAATTACATAGTTAAGTAAAGCGCGAATTGTATATATAATATAACATAAACCATTATGTAAAGCAAAATAAAACAAAACAAAAGTGTGAAGGTGAAGATGGCAGCTTCGAATTCTCCTAGATCATTATCAAGAGAACTAGCAAGAGGTTACAGAGACGATATGATTCGCAATATAATTTGGTTATGTCAGTCTAAAGAAGGTACATCACGTGTTTATCATAATGATCTCTGTAATATCTTAATCCTTTTCATACATTGAATGTGAAATGGTAATTTGGTCGTTGTGGTTCAGATATTTATTCATTCATTTCAGAAGAACCTTTTTTTCTTTTTTCTTTTACCAGGCCAACTAAAACTCACACCGAATTTTCTATCTTACGAATTTCTACAGAATAATTACTTTAAGCAAAAGATCTGTAGAAGAACTAACCCTTTCTATAAAGAAAAAAAATCTGTAAAACAAATAACCCTTTCCGAGAATGAATAAAACACCTTCGAACATAAACTGAACAAATTTCCTCGCTCCACAGGATGCGGCGATCTGCGTGAAGTTCCACCTGGAGCGGGAGAGGAATCCGGAGAAGTTTAACAGCAGGATGAAAAACAAACTTTGGTACTTCGAGTATGCAACTTCTGAGACCTTCGCCGCCTCTTGCAAGAATTTACACGAGGATATTGATATCATGGTGAGATAGGAGGGAGGGAGAGGGAGAGAGAGAGAGGGAGAAAGAGAGGGAGAGGGAGAAAGAGAGGGAGAGGGAGAAAGAGAGGGAGAGGGAGAAAGAGAGGGAGAGGGAGAAAGAGAGGGAGAGGGAGAGAGAGAGAGAGGGAGGGAGGGAGGGAGGGAGGGAAGGAAGGAGGGTGGGAGGGAGAGGTAGGGAGGGGGAGGAGGTGGTAGAGAAAGTGAGAGAGAGAGAGAGAGAGAGAGAGAGAGAGAAAGAGAGAGAGAGAGAGAGCGAATGAAAGAGAAAGAAGGAAAAAAAAAGAAAGAAAGAAAAAAATCATGAAGAAGGAAAGAGCGAGACAGATAAGAAAGAACGAGATAAAAACAAAATCACTCATACTTTTCTTAGAAACCAACACTAACCAACCCACCACCTCTCTCTCAAACACTCTAACACAGCTCCCAGATTCTCTCTATCCTTACTATCCCTCCCATCACAACCCCCCCCCCCCATGTTTACCCCTTTACAGAGAGATCTAGAAAGAAAGAAAGATCGAGAGAGAAAGGAGCAAAAGAAATAAATAAAAAAGAAATAAATAAAAAAGAAAGAAAGGGCGAGAGAAAAAAGAAAGAAAGAGTGAGAGAAAAAAGAAAGCAAGAAGGAAAGAGCGAGACAGAAAAAAAGCAAGCAAGAAGAAGGAAAAAGCGAGAAAGAAAGAAAGAAAGAACGAACTAAAAAAAAAAACTCATACTTTTCTAAGAAACCAACACCAACCAACCCATCACCTCTTTATCCTTACTATCCCTCCCACCACAGCCAACCTTCCCTTCACAACCCCGCTTTAACGACCCTCTTTCCCGCCTTTTCCCTTCCAGTGCGATGGCGTGTCCCTCGACCTCTCCAACGGCCCTTCACTCCAAGGCATCGCCCTCCTGAACATCCCCTACACCCACGGCGGCTCCAATATGTGGGGGGACAACGCCACGAAGAAGAGGACGAAAGCCACGAAGAGTAAGAAGAAGAAAGACAGGGAGAGGGAGCTCTCGACGTCCTCCTTCACGTCGGCGGATCTGAGCAATGCGATACAGGGTGAGTGTTGGGGTATTTGGTCTTTTGTTTTTAGTTTTTTTTTGTTTGTTTGTCTTTTTGTTTTTAGTTTTTTGTTTGTTTGTTTATTTGTTTTTAGTTTTTGTTTATTTGTTTATTTGTTTTTATTTTATTTGTCTATTTATTTTTAGTTTTTTGTTTATTTTTCTATTTATATCTATTTTTAATTTTTGTTTATTTGTCTATTTGTTTTTAGTTTTTGTTTATTTGTCTATTTATTTTTAATTTTTATTTATTCATATGTTTGTTTTTAGTTTTTATTTATATATCTATCTATTTTTAGTTTTTATTTATTGATCTATTTATTTTTAGTTTTTATTATTTATTTATCTATTTACTTTTAGTTTTTATTTATAGGGATAGGGGAGAAGGAAGAGGAGGAGTATGTGGAAGAATTAAATGAAAATAATTAAAAGAAAAGAAAAAGTTAATTCTATAGACTATACTATACGACACTAAAGCATACACATGTTTGTTTTTTGTGTGTGTCGTTTATGCAACATTATAAAACATATCACACAACGGTATATAGGACCCACCCGCCCCCCCACACAGGAACATCAGTCCTTTTCCACCAACACATACTGAAACACCGTCACTTTTCTGCCCACAAACTCACACACCCCAAACGTAACATTGATTCCTTTTCATCACATTCTCATCCCAAAGAGACATCTCCAATTCGGTTTCCCTTCCTCCCAATCCTCCTCAACCTCTGTTTCCCTTCCTACCAATCCTCCTCAACCTCTGTTTCCCTTCCTTCCAATCCCCATCAACCTCTGTTTCCCTTCCTCCCAATCCTCCTCAACCTCTGTTTCCCTTCCTCCCAATCCTCCTCAACCTCTGTTTCCCTTCCTCCCAATCCTCCTCAACCTCTGTTTCCCTTCCTCCCAATCCTCCTCAACCTCTGTTTCCCTTCCTCCCAATCCTCCTCAACCTCTTTTTTCCTTCCCTTTTTTTCCCTTCCTTTTTCTTTCCCTTTTTTCCCCTTTCCTTTATCCTTCCCTTTTTTTCCCTTCCTTTTTCTTTCCCTTTTTTCCCCTTTCCTTTATCCTTCCCTTTTTTTCCCTTCCTTTTTCTTTCCCTTTTTTTCCCCTTTCCTTTATCCTTCTCTTTTTTTCCTTCCTTTATCCTTCCCTTTCTTTCCCCTTCCTTTTTCCTTCCCTTTTTCCCTTCCTTTTTCCTTCCCTTTTTTTCCCTTTCCTTTTTCCCTTCCCTTTTCCTTCCCTTCCTTTTTCCTTCCCTTTTTTTTTCCCTTTCCTTTATCCTTCCCTTTTTTCCCTTCCCTTTTTCCCTTCCTTTTTCCTTCCCCTTTTTTTCCCCTTCCTTTTTTTCTTCCCTTTTTTCCCCTCTTCCTTTTTCCTTCCTTTCTTTTTCCCTTCCTTTTTCCTTCCCTTCTTTTTTCCTTCCCTTTTTTCCCTTTCCTTTTTCCTTCCATTTTTTTCCTTCCCTTTTTTCC